CAAATCCGCCACATTACATTTTGTGTTACAGTGCTGTACCTTTAACACATTTCTTTCCAAAGCATTTTTCACATTTCCGTATCTTATAGCAATATGTTTACTCTTGCTCTTAAAGTTCTGTTGGTTAGCAAGCTGTTGTGCAGCCATGTTGTCACTTAGCACAGAGATTGGCATTTCAGAAGGTATTCCAAGCTCTTTTGTTAGGCAAGCAAACCACTCTATTTGTGGCACACATTCGCTTATGGCTGTATGGCTGAGTACTCTGCTTCACAAGTACTTGTGGCAACAAATGTTTGTTTCTGGGATTTCCACTGAACCAGGGCATTTCCAATATATATGGCATAGCCAGTGGTAGACTTTCCATTTTCTCTGTTCCCCCAGCTGGCATCAGCATATGCATATACTTGCTGATCATATCCTGTATCAAGCACCAGTTTGTAATCTTTTGTGCCTTTCAGATACCTTAGGATTCTTTTAAGTGCTACACCAGGTCTGCACTTCTTTGGCTTAACATGTGCCCTGCCAATGTTATGTCGGGTTTTGTCCAACAACTTAAATATAACAGAGAACCTAACAGAGGATGAAACGCTGTGCATTCTCACATTTTTGCCCTTCTGGTTCCTTTTTGTACTGGTAGTTATGGGAGTGTCAACCTCACTTGCCCTCTCCATTCCATATGTCTTCAGTAACTTTTCGATTTTTTCCTTCTGACTCAGAGTAGACGCCCTCTTCATTTCTCTGAACCTCTACTCCTAAGTAATTCTGAATCTCTCCCAAATACTTCACTTTGTATTTGTTACCTAGGCTGTTTATAAACCAAGACAGTTGCTTTTGTGCAGTTGTTATTAGACAGATATCATCAACATACAAAAGTAAATAACAAACGCTTCCTTGCACCATTGCTGAATATAAACAGGAATCAGCCAGGCTTTGTTTGAATCCCATCTTTTTCAAAGTTGTGTCTATGCATTCATGCCATAGACGTGCACTTTGGTGTAAACCATATAGTGCCCTTTGCAGCTTTAACACCATGCTGTCTTTTTCCAGCTCATAACCTGGTATTTGCTGTAAATACACCTCGGCGTCAATAGGAGCATTTAGATATGCTGAGGCAACATCAAAATGATTAACTTTTAACCCTCTCAGACTTGCCATTGCTAAAACTGATTTTACTGTTTCAGCCTTTGCTCTTGGGGCAAACACTTCATCATAATGTATCATTTTTGTTTGTGTAAAGCCCCTTGCAACCAGCCTGGATTTCCTCTGACAACTACCATCGGCCAGCTTTTTCACTTTAAAAACCCACTTACAGCTTATGGGCTTTTTACCTTGAGGCAATTCTGGAGGTGTCAGCATCACCCTTCAGCCAGTGTCACCAACTGGATTCATCCACTTCAGCCCCAACTGGGCTAGGCGAGCTGGGTAGCACTTCCAGAGACCACCTTCTGCACAGGAACAGGTCAAAGTGCTGTGGACTCACAGCTTAGAGTTGTGAGCATCAGATTCACTTCCACAAGAAGACAGCCATCGCACAGCAGAGTATAGCAGAGTACAGCAGAGCATAAATGACTCGGAGAGCAGCTCTGTAGAATATCTTTTATTCTATCAACAACTATAATACACAACTATATACAGAGCTAAATGAGGTCTAAACGAAAATGAATGCTGAACTGCACTGAGTATCTGCAGCTGCTCTTAGCAGCAACCTTATCTATACACACAATCTCTCTCTAACACTCAGGCTCTCTCTCCGACACTTTGATGTGAGGCTGGAGCGGAATAAGTAGAGAGCAAAAACCGCCCCCTCCTCTCTGGAGAATCAGCAGAGAACATCAGCAGATTCTTGGATATGGGAGGGGTGAAATCTCCTCAGTAGGTACAAACACATTGTTATTTAGCAGAGAGTTATACTCTGCCTGCATTGCCTTTAACCACACCTCTTTCTCTAGAGTAGGTAAGTCTTGCACTTCTTCAAAGTTTTCTGGCTCAGTTACACAAACCCTGGTTTATGGTGGCTGGGAACCCATAACGGGCTGGAGGTTGGCCTTTATTACTTCTTTCAGACCTCCTTGGTTCATTAATCTCACCCCCTGGGCTACATTCAGGACTGCTTTTGGGCTGAATTGACTCTGGAGATTTACCTCCTCCTGTCCCTGTTGCACTTTCCTCTCTCCCCTGCTCCATGCTAGCAGCTGGAGAAAAATGCTCAGTCTTTACCTCCTCCCTTTCAATTTCTCTGGGAGAGCTGCCAATTCTTAGCTTTTTTTCAACGGCCTTATCAGTTACGCTCGGCAGTAAAACTTTTTCTGGCAGCAGGTTAGCATGTATCTTGGGCCAATTTCTTTGCTCATTAAAGCTGGCTGACTGACTATAACTCAAAAGATTTTTATCATCTTCAAACCTGTAGGCTTTCGTACCGCTTTCATACCCAAGAAATAGCAACTGCTGTGCCCTTTTCCCACCTTTTCTTCGGGTTTTTTACAGGTATGTCAACCCATGCCTTTGTCCCAAAGATTCTCAAATGTTGCAAACTGGGACTTTTGTTATAGAGAATCTTATAGGGTATGTCATCTAGCACCCTTGACCACAAACAATTTCTAATATAATTCGCTGTCTTAATACTCTCAGCCCAGTATTTAATTGGAAGATTTGCATCTGCCAACAATGCTTTCATTTGTGTCTGCAAGACACCTCCCCTACGCTCTGCTACTCCATTCTCCTGAGGAGTCACCACATTGGTAAGCCTATGTTTAATCCCTTGGGATCGCAACCAGTTTCTTAGGGAGCTTGCCATAAATTCTCCTCCCGTCTGTCTGAATAGAGCACACCTTTTGGCCAAGTTGCCTTTCTACCCTTCTTACCCAGAACTTCAAAGTTTGGGCAACGTCAGACTTTTGCTTTAATGGATAGACCCAGCCAAATCTAGAATAGTCATCCACTAGGATCAAACAATACTTGTTATGGGAGACACTTGGTGGAAAAGGACCAGTTACATCAGCATGAACCAACTCCAGTGGTTTTTTGGTTTCTCTCTGGCTTTCTCTTGCTACTGGGCAAGTCCTGCTTTTAACCTCCTTGCAGATATTGCAGTCTAAGTAATTATCACAACTTTTAATGTTTTTCATCCCCCCACACAACTCCAATGTTTTGTTCAGCACCTTAAAGCTGGCACGAGCCAGACGCCTGTGCAGCAGATGAATACACATATCATGGGTCGGGACATTTTGCACATTCGCAACCTTAGACTCACACTGCAGTACATACATATTAGTTCTAAGGTTAGCATTTGCCAACACTGCCCCATTTTGCTTTATCTGGCACTGATCTCCCACAAAGTTTACTTCAAAGCCTGCTTTTGCCAAGTCAGGAATACTCAGGAGATTGTTTTGCAACCTAGGCACACACAACACATTCCTGAATGTGTGTCCCAGCTGTGGGAACACAATCTCCCCCTCACAGACTACATTAGCTTTCTGGCCTGTAGCAAGACTTACATGGTTTTGTTTGAAGCCCTAGCATCAGTTAGCAATGCTTTTCTTTTACAAAAAGTTTGAGAAGCTCTGCTGTCCAGAACCCACAGCTCTTCATTTTCTTGGCCATCTGCAGACACCCAAGCGGTAGACTCTCTCTGCTGCCTCCTGTGCTTCTGCTGTTTTTGTTGTTTCCTCGGGCAGTCCCGAAGCAGATGTTCACTGGACTTGCAGCAAAAACACCTTTTTACTTTGTTGACCACCGGCTGGTCTGCAGCAGCTCCTCCTGGCTGTTTCTCTGGCTCCCGACACCTCTGCTCTTCCCGGCTGTTGTTCCCTCTGGGATGCTCCAACAGCTGGGCTGAGGTCATCTTTCTCTCTGAACGCCTGTCCTCCTCTGCATACAACCGTCCGGTAACGTATTCCAGACTCAAGGAAATTGACCAGCATATCATAGCTGTCATCAAGGGAACTCAGGACTATAAAGACTTTGTCCTCTTCCCCCACAGGCCTCCCTCTTAAGGCTAGCTCCTGGAAACAGCCTGTTAGGAATTTTAGGTGGTTCACCAGGGAGTCCCCCGGTGTCTTCCGACACCGGTACGTTCTCCTGGTCAGTGTTATCAGTGAGCCAGCTGTCTCTCGCACATGGACAGCCTTGAGCGCATTCCACGCCTCACTTGCCGTCACCTTATCAGCTACGTAGACTAGCTGGCTGTCGTCCACTCCAAGGATGATCGTAGCTAAGGCTTTCTCGTCCTTTTCATCCTCCTCAGGGGGCTGCGGTGGATCTTCCACCACTTTCCACAGGCCCTCACGCTTAAGGAAGTGGACTGACCAGATGCTGTAGTTCGTGGCCGTCAGCTTCTCCAGCAACACGCCAGCTCTGGACTGCTCCATCCCTGCAGCTCCCCTCCAGCACCCACGGCTAGATAACTGCCACCTGTACTCATGCGCAGCGGAAGTGTGCTGGGCCCAAAACCCTGTCAGGAATTCCTCGTGGCGCTTTTAGCAGAAAGCTCAGAGTCCCAGGTTCTTTAGTGCAGTATTTATTATTGTGAGCTAAATATATATACAAATATCTACAGAAGCAGTTCATCTAATCAGACAGAGTACCTGCACCTTGAGGCAAAAGAAGACTCCACACTCATCTACACCACTCCACCACTATAGGACAGGCTTCCCTTTTAAACCGGTGACAGCCAATCACATTACTGTGGGGTGCCACAAAAGAGAACACCCTCTCCCAATTTCAAACATGGGGGGATGGTGGGGAAACCCTTAAGAGGCTGCGGGTGCAGGTATTAGTTCTCCTAAAAAGCGGGAAGAGCCTAGGGTCAGCGTATCTAGGACAAAAGTGTGTCATGAGAATGAAAGAATAGGCTGCTGGGTTAGACCAGCAGCCTGCACAGTCCAGCATCCTTATCTCACAGTGGCCAACCAGATGCCCATGGGAAACGGGAAGGCAGAATTCGAACACAGAGCCCTCTCCCCTTCCTGTGGTTTCCAGCAACTGGTATTCAGAAGCATTCCTGCCTCCAACAGTGGAGGCAGAGCAATTAGGACATGCTGAACTTGTCAACTTTCAAATTCCCCAAATGAGGAATACTAAAGAGTTGTAATAGGGACGCGGGTGGCGCTGTGGGTTAAACCACTGTGCTGCTTGGGCTTGCCGATCGGAAGGTCGGTGGTTCGAATCCCTGCGATGGGGTGAGCTCCCGTTGTTCGGTCCCAGCTCCTGCCCACCTAGCAGTTCAAAAGCACATAGTGCAAGTAAGTAAATAAATAAATAAATAAAATAATAATAATAATAATAAATAATAATAATAATAATATATTTATATCCAATCCCTCCCCAGCCGAAGCCAGTACTGCTCCGGCTGGAAGGTAAACGGCATTTCCGTGTGCTGCTCTGGTTTCGCCAGAAGCGGCTTAGTCATGCTGGCCACATGACCTGGAAAAACTGTCTGCAGAAGCGGACAAATGCCGGCTCCCTCGGCCTTAAAGCGAGATGAGCTTTAAGCCCAGAGTCATTTGCGACTGGACTTAATTGTCAGGGGTCCCTTTACCTTTACCTTTAAAGAGTTGTAACATGACTTGGGAATAAAGATGTGTAAAATTGCATACAAATCATTAAAACAATTGCCTAGTACTTGCAATCTATTATTATTATTTAGTATTACCCGACATTTTCAGACGCTAAAATTGAAATTCTTTGGTTTGGTTTTCCAAAAGCAGATGATGTAGCTGGTGGGGTCTCCTCCCTGTGACTCACCCAAACCTTCCCCAACCCTTAGAATGCCCTCTATAGATATTATGGACTCAAGCTGCGGGATTCCAGGAGCGCAGAGACAGTCCACCAGTACCTGCACTTACTCCTGAGGTTGGCTCTCGAAGAGGAAGCAGACAGAGAGGTGAGTGAATGTGTGGGATGTCAGGGGGGGAGGAGAGCCAGCGGGACTGGGACTGCGCTCACACGGAGATTGTCCTGGAAGAGCCTCCTCCTTCTGAACCCTCCTGCTTCAAGCGCCTCCCCAGGCTGCTCCCCAGTGTCCCACCACCACAATCCAGGGTCCCCCACTCTTACTCATCCAGCCAGTCCCTGACATTACCCCACAGACCCCACCAGCCCTCTGTCCTGATTTCTGGATTGGTCTCTGCTCGTGCCCACCCAGTCACCCCTTCAAAGCCTCTTACAGGAGGAACAGCTTTTCAGCATTCAACATATCTGGGGCAGATTTGTTTAGTTTTGGGTTCGATCAGAGCAGCCAACAAGTGGCCCTCAATGCCTTTCTTGGCAGCCCTCAGCAACCTTGGAGGCACCCCTACACACCTGTAGGCCTTGCACCGCCTTCCCAAAGCTGGGTAAGGAGGTGCTGGGCTTGGGGAAGGAGGCAGGTGTGATCTGTCAGGGTCCTAGAGTCCTCAGTTAGCTCTTTCCCACCTTTGGCAAGAAGGTGGGAAGGCGCTAGGTCCCACCAGAGCCTCGTGCCTCCTTCCCAAAACCCAGCGCCTCACCTGCCTACCTTTGGGAAGGCAGCATGCAGGCCGGGGCGTGTGTGTCAAACGTTGGCCTTGCTCCCCTCTCCCACATGACAAGTCAGTGTGCAGCCCACAGGTTCTGTGCTGAACTACTCTTGTGGCCCACTTGGTATGAGAAATTGGAGCACCCTGGTTTAGATGGTGCATATTCCTGCTCTGGCGCCTTTGGGTGAGGGGTGGATTACAAATACTTCCAGTGTATAAATGATGCATTTTAATGTAGTTGGGTGTTTAATGAAGCCAAGAACTGTATCACAAGATTCGAAAATGTCAGAATGCAAGGCATCCTTGCATTTCAAGCTGCACATGAGTCTGGGAGTTGTGGTCTGGTCAGTTCACATCAGAATCCACAGAAATATCGTTCTTCAAACCACCCCTATTATTATCCGGGATGAAAGGATCTGTTCAAATTGGTTCTCTAAGTGTCTCATTTCCCCACTCTTAAATTTGGTTCCCCACATTTTGCAGCAATCTGCTTACAGAATCACATTTATCCTCCATCCCTCATGATCAGCTTAGCTTAATGGTTGCCATCAATTTCATTTTAATTGATTTTAATTAATTTTTATAATGAAATGTTTTTAGAATGTTGTACTATTTTATTGTTGTTAGCCGCCCTGAGCCCGGCTTTGGCTGGGGAGGGTGGGATATAAATAAAATTTATTATTATTATTATTATTATTATTATCACTAATTGCAATCAAGAAAACGACATGTTTGACGTGCCTCATTCTCTCCAGGGAATTTCTGAGGCTATCGGTGTGGCTTCAAGCACCCATATTTCCCAGGTGCTGATGGCAGTGCGGGATTTTGGCCGCGCAGCCATTGCAAGGAAGACTCAGACGTCTGAGGTAAGGGTGTGAAGTGAGGAAGGAGCATAGCAAGAGTGTAGGTCAGCCATCCCCAGCCTGGTGCCCCTTCCCCATCCGTGTGTTTTGAATTGGAACTCCCATCAGCCCCTGACAGCATGGCCAATGGTTAGACAAAGATCCTGGCAAATTGGATCCTTAGCAGCTATTTACATCCACACCAAAGCATGTGAAGCAGCCTCTGGGTTCCTCTGATCTAGGAAAACAGAGCTGTGTTGGAAAAGAACAAATCCTGCCCCATTTCCAAATATGCTCTTTTTCAAGGGATGGGATCCTTACCATTCCAAAAAGGCAATTAGATCTGCTCATCCTCTCAGTATGGAAGCCAGACAACTTCCTCTGTGGGTATGTCTCAGTCATCCTTCTGAAGTGGGCTCCAGCAGTCCTGTCTCTGTGGCTCCAGATCCTAGCTCTGATCTGATCCCTTGGCTCAGTCAGTCAGTCAAACGGAATCGTTAGAAACCATTGGTCATCCCCAGAGTACACGCAATACAAAAGTACACTGGCCCATGTTTTTAGGTTGGTTGTCAGATGGTTGGTTGGCATTTCTTCAATAGTGGAAGCTAATGGGGGACCCCAAGGGTCATCTAGTCCAACCCCCTCCAATGCAGGAATCTCAGCTCAAGCATCCCTGAGAGATGGCCATCCAACCTCCAACGGAGAGTCCACAACCTCCCAAGGGAGAGTGTTCTGCTGTCAGAAAGCTTTGAATGAAGAACCTCTTAGAGTTTGGAAGAGGGGACACCTCTCCAACTGAGGGGAGAGAGCAGAATCCAAGAGAGAAGGCAGTCGGCAGGCTGGGAGAGGCAGAGAGAAAGAGGGGAGAGGTTTCAGCTGCATCCCGGGGCAGGGGAGCTGCCCAAGTTGCTCTCGTGCAAGGGTTCTTCTGCGTACGGGAGTGCCTGCTGGCCCCATTCAACTATGTTCTAGAGTAGACCCATTGAATTTAATGAAGATGACTAAGTTAGGCCCATTCATTTCAACAGGTCTACTTGAAGCAAAGCATAGTTGAGTGTCACTCTCTGTGTTCACCTCCATATATTTGTCAATTAAGCAAATTATTACAAAGGCATAGTAACTGCGTGCGGATCTAACAGTTCCATAACCTGAGGGGGCCTTGGGGTCATGTGCCCCCGACTCTCCAATTCTCCAACCCAGCTGGAAGGGGATCAGAACCTTTTCCTTCCACTTTCAGTTAACTTCCCTCAAGCTTCCGGTCTCCTTTTTGCAACTGTGCTAGAGGAGAAGGGAGCAGGAGCCGATGAGTCCAAGGCTCATTCACACAATAATAAACCATAGTTTATCACAGAGGTAACCAAAATGGTGCCCTTCAGATGCTACAGACTGCAACTCCCATCCCTCCTGACCACTGGCCATACTGGCTGAGGCTGATGGGAGCTAGAGGCCAACCTATGTTGATGCCCTCTGGTTTATTGTTACACCTGAACGCAGCCCTGAACTCTCTTGTGCTCTGCCATCCAAGAGAAATGAAACCCAGGAGTGTGGTACCCCTGGATTTTTGCTGTGAGTTGGGAAATGACCAAGGAAATTTCCCAACCCTCACTATGGAGAAGATGAGCAGATCCACCCAGTTCATTTTAATTTTAAAAAAGCAGCTCCCATGGAAAAGAGCACCAGTGGTCAGCCTACCCTACACTGTCCTGCGCTTTCTCCCTGGTTGACTGACCAAACCCAAAGAGAACACCTTCATGGTTCCTCGTCATCCTGGGGAAAAATTGACCAGTGGGGTGTCACAGGGTTCTGTCCTGGGCCCGTTGTTGTTCCACGTTTTTTTTTAAAATAAATGACTTGGATGAAGGAATTGAGGGGATGCTCATCAAATTTGCAGATGACACCAAACTGGGAAGGGTAGCCAATGCCACAGAAGACAGAATCGGGATTCAAGATAACCTTAACAGATTGGAGAACTGGGCCCAAACTAACAAGATGAAATTCAATAGGGTCAAATGTCAGGCTCTACATTTAGGCAGGAAGAACCCGATGCACATATATAGGATGGGGGAGCCCTGGCTTGCCAGCAGTTTGAGTTTCCTGGAGGAAAAAAAAATACAAAATTTGTAAGTCTGCACAACAACTTCTTGTTGTTGCTTAGTCGTTTAGTCGTGTCCGACTCTTCGTGACCCCCTGGACCAGAGCACGCCAGGCACTCCTGTCTTCCACTGCCTCCCGCAGTTTGGTCAAACTCATGCTGGTCGCTTCGAGAACACTGTCCAGCCATCTCGTCATCTGTTGTCCCCTTCTCCTTTTGCCCTCCACCTTTCGCACAACAACTTACTGACTACTAATATTTTCCCAGCTGCTAAAAGGTCCCAACTAAATGGTGATTTGTCTCCAATTGCACTTAAGGTTCCCAAACTCACTTTCCCCATCCTTTCCCTCCAGAATACTAGCGAGACCAATGCCAGCATCACCGTCATCCTTTGCTGCGGGCAAATGGCAATCGGGGCACGGCAGGATGAGCTCCCCCTTTTTATAGACCAGTTAACACAGGAGCTCCTCTTCCAATTCCAGAACAGCAGGAAGGTATGGCTCTGATTATCACACGGACTCCTGTTGTTTGTTCTCTCAGCTATACCATACTTTTCCGTGTATAAGACAAGGTGTTTTTTATTATTATTAAAAAATGATGTTTAAAAATGAGGGTCATCTTATACACAGATAGTGCATAGGGGGGACATGGGTTTGGTTGCCGCTGCAAGCCGGAGATAGTCAGTGGCTATTGTGCGTGTTATTGGTGGCTGCGGCAAGGGGTGGTGTTGACTGGCTGTCGCTGCGGAAATTGGGAAGGCGATTGGCGGTTTCTGCCGGCGAGGGACAGACAATAGGTGGGTTTTGCGACGTGTGTGAGTGGCAGCATAGGTCCAGCGGGTGAGCAATTTTTGGAATCCCCTCCCCCCAAATAGCTGAACAACTGTGGGTAATCCTCCCTTCCAAAAGCTCAGCAACTCTGGGCAATCCTCCCCCCCCCATTTTCTTAATTTGGAGTCCCCCCTAATAGGGGGTGTCTTATACACGAAAAAATACGGTATATCCTGCCTTTCTCCTGTCATACGACTCCAGGAGGTGTGCAACCATTTCCCCCGTGGTCACCATCCAGGCACTGAGCAGACCTCCTGAGCTCCGTCAAGGTCCTTGCACCACATGCCTTCAGACTGTGCCCTAGGGCAGGGTCTTTGGCTTCATCCACCAAAGGGTTGTAGACTGGGGTGTATACTGGCTCCACCCTTAGGACCAGATGGGGCATTACAGTGGTACCTTGGTTCTCAAACTTAATCCATTCTGAAACCAAAGCGTTCCAAACCAAGGCACGCTTTCCCATAGAAAGTAATGCAAAATGGATTAATTCTTTCCAGACTTTTTTTAAAGAAACCCTAAAACAGCAATTCAACATGAATTTAACTATCTAACAAGACCATTTCTGGGTTAATTTTTGGATTGGGTTAGTGTTAGGGTAAGGATTAGAATTAAGGTTAGGGTCAGTGTGGCTTTATGTTTCCTTGTGATTTTGATTCAAACTCAATTTTATAAAATCCCTTCTCCTTTCAGAACGAGGATTTGAAGAAGAGCTTTATGAAGGCAGCAACTTTAACAACCAAGGCGCTTGTGCAGTCGAATGTGGGACATGTCACCTTCCCCCACAAAGAGGAGCTCACCTTCTGCATCATAGTGAGTAAAAAGAAAAAGAAAAAAAGAGGGGGAATCTCCTGGGGTTTCTTTTCAGAGCGTTTTTTCTTAAAAATAGCTGTGTAGGTCTAGCTCTGGGTTGCATGTTCTGACCATCTGGCCCCAAACCATTTCTGGGTGGTCACGTTCTGCTCCAGCTCAAGTTTCCAAACCCTCTTGAAAGGCAGCCCTACATTGTGGCAACCTCAGCAGGCTGTCACCAGCGCCTAAGTAAAAGAGGCTAGGTTCTCCCAGGAGGAGAGGGCTGTCGATGGCTCCCAGCCATGATTGCTATGTTCTACCTCCACAGAGGAAGGAAGCAATGTTTCTGAATATAGTTGCTGGAAGCCACAGGCGGGGAGAGGGCTCTTGGGCTCATGGTCTGCTCCCTGGTTTCTCACAGACGTCTGGTTGGCCACTGCGAGAATGCTGTGAGGATGCTGGACTAGATAGGCCCTTGGCCTGGTCCAGAAGGCTGATCTTATGCTGTTCTTATGGGGTAGAGCTCTGCCCAGGAGAAAAAGGGATCTTATTCCCAGATCCAGGAAGCCCACTCTTCTCCTCTAGGAGGACCCACTTGCCAATTGCAAAGAAGTTGTCAAGTGGGCTGGATAGAGAGCACACCTCAGGGCTTGGTGTGGTGGTGGCAGGGATGGCGCCTCCAGTTCCCTGACATGCTGTGTGCTTCCCCACCACAGGAGGTTATCAGAGAGCAGCCAATGGCATCAATCACCAACCTGCACGAGGCAATGGAAAACATCATTCGCCTGACGTAAGTACGGCCAGGCACAGTACATATTTCTTCACCAGGTTTATGGACTGCTGGGTGCTGATCCTTTCCTCTCCCCTTCTTTCTCTTCTCAGTGCCTTGAGACCATACATGGACCCTCTGACCCGCTCTCAGCTGGTACAAAAAATCACCCAGAAGGTCTTCCAGTTGCCATCCTTGCAGGTTATGAAGATCAAAGCTGGGAGCTCGGTCAAAGCAACACCGAGCCAGGTGACTGGACCTTCTGCTTTTGGAGGAAAATGGGGTTGCCAGGTTAAAGGATTTGAGGGCAAAGAGTCTGAGCCGTGTAAGCCGCAAAGAATGCTGCCTGAGACACTTGACCCATCACAATGATGTAACAGCCAGAGACTTGGGGTGTATATTTTTGATTTTAATCATGTTTCCATATTTATTACATTTCACCTTTGCTAGAATGCATCCACGTATGATTCCTGCATGCCTGCATTTTGTGACTCTCATGCCTCCCTCCTACGCTGCATTTAATTTTATTTGTTTGCTTGTTTGTTTATATGCTGCCCATCTGACTGGGTTACTCTAGCCACTCTGGGCGGCTTCCAACAAATTAAAACACAGCCAGACGTCAAATATTTAAAACTTCCCTATGCAGGGCTGCCTTCAGATGTCTTCAGACGGAAGTATAATGATATATCTCTCTGACATCTGATAGGAGGGTGTTCCACGGGGTGGGCCCCACCACCAAGGCGGCCCTCTGCCTTGGAACACCCCAAGGAAGTTGAGCCCAGTGTGGAGTCCTGTATCTTTATATCGCATGACCTGTAACCTTACATACATCAAGAAACGTTTGATGTTTATGACTCTTTGTGTGCCGTGCTTGAACCCCTGCATAAGCTTTGTTACAAATTTGGACTAGAAGGCTCCAGAGCATATGGGATTTCCATGGGGGTCTTCAGCTTCTAAGTGCTTTTGCTTCTCTCCTTCCAGGACTGTTATCAAGAAACCGTGTACATCTGGCTCAACATGCTCACCAGCTTGCTGTCAGAGGCCCCCTCTCTGAAGACGCTGCAGGAGATATTAGTGGTAAGGGAGCCCCCAAGGTGTCAGAGCAGGGGGAAGCAGCAGCTCCCATGCCGGAGGACAGACCCTCTTGAAATGATTGCACGGGGGGCATCTGTGGCCAACTCACTGGTTGTGGGTGCTGATGGTCAAGTGGGCCTCTGTTCTGCTAGCAATGCTTGTGCAAGGCACACAAGATATGTCCTCTGCTGATGGCGTATGGGGAAGGGCCGTGGCTCGGGACAGAGCATCTGTCTTGCATGCCCAAGGTCCCCGGTTCAGTCCTCAGCATCTCCAGGTGGGGCTGGGAAGTTATGGAACACCGGAATGAAGTTCACGGCATGTACTGCCTTGAAGGAAAACATTATGAAAATGGTATACCGGTGGTACATGACCCCAGTCAAGCTAGCTAAAATATATCACCTGTCCGACAACAAATGTTGGAAATGTAAGGAGGCAGAAGGGACATTTTTCCACCTCTGGTGGACCTGCCCAAAAGTGAAGGCCTTCTGGGAAATGATACATAATGAACTAAAAAAGGTATTTAGGTATACCTTTTCTAAGAAACCTGAGGCCTTCCTGCTGGGTATGGTGGACCAGAAAATGTCAAAGAAGGATAGAACTTTGTTTATGTATGCAACTACAGCAGCAAGAATACTCATCGCAAAGAACTGGAAGACACAAGATTTACCCACGCTGGAGGATTGGCAGACGCAGTTGATGGACTACATGGAATTAGCTGAGCTGACTGGCAGAATCCGAGATTTGGATGAAGAAATAATCGAGGGAGACTGGAGAAAATTTAAAGACTATTTGCAAAAACATCACAAGCTGTATGAATCTTAAGTTAGTGCATGATCGAGAAATACTATGCTTTGGCAAATATGATTAAGTAAATGTTAAAATAAGTGATAAAAAAGGAAAGGAGACAATTTGAATTGAACATGTTATGTTTATTTTAAAAGTTTTGAAATTAAAATACAATATATTGAATTTGGATGCATAACAAATTGAAAGTTACAATAAGGTATGAAACAAGGTAACAAATTGCTGACATTATCAAATTATAAAGAATGCAGTTCCGGAGGGTGTGGGGAAGTCCAAATAGGGAATGGTTTATATACTTTTTTTGGTTTGGTCTTTAATTTGTTTTTGAATGAAAAAGAAAAGAAAAATTGTTTCTTGTATTTAATGTTTTTGTGGTGTTTGGATTGTTTGAAGTTATGGAAAGGAACGCAATAAAAAAATTTATATAAAAAAAAAAAAAAAAAACAGGTGGGGCTGGGAAAAGGCTCTCTGCCTGAAAGCCCAAAGGGCCAACTGCCAGTCCTCATTACCTGTGGAACAATGGCTGGGCTTGGTCTAAGGATGCTTCCTGCATTCCATTGCTATGGCTGTGGTGAGGTGTATGTTGTATTGTTGCAATTATCACACACACAAACACACAAATGACAGATTGCAGGGCGGTTCACAACATAAAAATACAAAATCAGAACAGAAAATGCATAATAAAACAAAAGCAACCCAAGAGCCAATTAATATCTAATTCTACTAATGCTTTTTTTAAATGGCTTCTTTTTTCTGTGTCTTTAGTTGTTCTTGTTTTGTTTGTAAGCTGCCTCGAGTCCCTGTCTGGGAAAGAGGTGGGGTATTATTATTATTATTATTATTATTATTATTATTATTAATAAACAAATTGCAGCAAACTTTCTCCTTTACAAAACAACCCCTTTTTGCAATTTGTCCCCTCTATGAAGCTTTGTGAATTTGCAAACCTGGATTAAGGGTTGTCCTTCCATGTGATGACGATGATTTCTCTCTCGCAGCACATAAAAGGCTGGATTGACTCCACAAAAATCAGTGAGCGGCAAAGAGCAGTCAAGACCACCAACGCACTCCTGAAATATGTCTCCGAGCATCTGGACTTTGATGTGAGTGACCAAGGCTTAATGCTGCAATTTCAAATCGTATTGCGTTGGAAAGTTCAGGTGTGAACTAGATGAAAGCTGTATGGCATGGCCATCCCAGGGGAAGGTGCCAGCCAGTGCTATTTTTCTAGAAAAAGAGGTGCCAGGACTCACCATGAACTCACCTCCCTCATTCTCTTATAATGGCAATAGTGCCCACCTGAGAGGTGCCAGTGTTAGCTATTTGCAGTATAGTAGCACTGCAGAGAGCTTGCTGGGGAGACCATGCGTTAAAAAGGGACTCAAAAATAACTTAAACAAGGTTTTAATAACAAAAACAAAAACTCCTAAATACACCAACAACAAACCAGACCCAACCACCAACCCATCCCCCAGGGTAACGGAAGAGCTAGGTGCTGCTCCTTATATACTACACCCAAATGCTGACACAGCTTAATCAATACAACTCAGCACCTGCTGTGTTTCACAGCTGTAAAGCTGGGTCTCGTTATCTTGCTCTGGCCCTTGCTCTGGCCCCTGAAAGACATACACAACTGGTGGAACAATGATGAACCTTTACATTTAAAGAAACCATTCAACATTTCCCCTGCGGTTCATCATTGTGGAACAAAATCATAAAGCATATTTTGTACACGTCTTTCATGAGTAACCTTTGGAAGTGCTTTAGTAAAAATGTCTGCAATTTGATTGTCACCTGGAACATATTGAAATACAATCATTTCATCAGCAATTAGTTTCTTTACAAACTGTAAACGTAACCTTAAGACTCTAGTGCGCTGCGTATTGGTCTCTGAACACAGGATAGCAAGTCCGCTCTGGGAATCAAGGTAAACTCTTACTGGTAGTGTTACTTTCATCTGTAGGTCTGCAAATACTTGCAGATACCATTCCACATCATGAGTGGCCTGAACGCATGCACATAATTCACTCTCTGTTGTGGAGAGACAAATAATGGTTTGTGTCTGGGACTTCCATTCAAATGGACAACCGTTATAACAAAACACCATACCAGACACATCCCTGCAATTATTTTGTTCCACTGCATGAGATGCATCGCAGAAAATTTCAAAACCTTTGTCAATACATGATGTAAACTGCAACCTATAATGTTTGGTATGTTTAAGGTACACTACCACTCTCTTAAGAGCAGAGAAACATTGCGTAGTGGGCTTTTCCACAAATTTTGCCAGAAAGTGAAAGGCATAAGTTATATCTGGTCTTGAGATTCTTTGAATGAAATTTAGCTTGCCTATAGCAGAACGATACAAAGTTTTGTTAGGAAATGGCTTATCTTCACCTGTAAAGGTGAAACCACACACCATAGGCGTATTCCTTCCCATTTGCATTTTCTTAAACCCATTTTGAATCAATAAGTCTCATATCTGGGGTTTGTGGTACAAGAGACCAGGTGTTATGCTCTTTTAAAGAAGCTATCTCAGAGTTGATAGCTTTATACCAATTTACAACTTGGTGCTTAGGTAAATTCTGAACATCATTGTAGCTTTTTGGCTCAAAAACCGCCTTATTGGCATACACGTATTTAAATGTTCATCTGCAAAACGTTGTGGCTTCTGTCTTTCTATCTGAACGTCTCAGTCCGGAAGGAGAGTCAGACTCCTCAGACTTAATGGGACTAAGTGAACTACTAGTTTCAGGTTGTAAATCATCATTGTCAGACTGAAGAGGTGCCTGTAGGCTAAGCTCACGGTCAGAAAAACTCAAGAGAATCTAAACCTCCCCTCGGGTGCCCATGACTTTAAATCATCAAACAGATTATCAGATTCAACAGGCTTTTTGTCTTGTTCCATTAATTCAGAAGCACCATTCTGCTGCTGCTGCTGCTGCTGCTACTTCCTCTTCTTCCTCAGTGTCATTTATACCGTTAGTATCTTGGAAAACAAGCCATTCCAATTTACAGTTTGTATCATGCTTCTGGTAATATGAAATTTGCCACTTGCTGGTATGTAAATTCTGTACGCTCCCTGCTGGTAGCCCATTAATTTCCCCTGAACACTACGCTCACCCAATTTCTGCTTAGCGGGATAATGCATAATTACATCTGAATCCCAAATGCGTAGGTATTTCAGATTAGGGCGTTTTTTAAACAGCTTCTCATAGGGGGTTGTTAGGATATTTCTGTTCCACCTTAAACAGGGAGCAGGCTGTTGTTTGAGTCACAGTCTGCGTACTTCCGGCTCACAGAAAGTTTATGTTTTGTACATAGCTTTTGTTTCTCTCTCTGTGCCTGAACACGCAGGCAAGCAGTCATGTTTTTTCTTTGTTCTGACCAACGCTAAATAAAGTTGTAAATAATGCTCTCCTGAGTGCATCTTTCATTGTGCGAACTCTGCAAAGGTAGTGCACAAGTCCTTGGAATGTGGAAAGCTGT